GGTCGATATGTGTTGACTTTACTTTAGAATAGCAGATCTCTGTGACCGGATATCTTTTTTTCTGCTTTTAGTGAACGTGTGTCTCTTCCTTGGAGGAGCAGCATCGCCCGGACTCCGCTGCTCCTCCGAGCAGAGTCTGCACTGCAGCGGTGTGTTTCAGCGACGTGCAGTCAGTGGAGGCACGGATTGGCCATCGGGAGAGTCGGGACTAAATGCCACGGCTTTCTGGCTAGCACTTAGCATGTGGGACCGGACAGCTTTGATCCCCATCGACAGTGGCAATTCTAGAGTCTGTGGGGGCCCCTCGAACCAGCTTTCATCACCATCAGTGGCGCCCCAACACACTCCCCCCTTTTTTTTCGCCGGTCAACATGTCCGTTAAAGTTGAAATCTTCCGGACAAAATTAGAAAAGTGCCGGTCAAACGTCTTCTTTGTTATTTATTGAGCTTTAAAACAAATGAATAATGATTATATAATCATATAAGAATAAAACACGGAGGACAGAGATCTCTTTTTCTCCCCCTCTTCTGACAGCCCAGCAGCTGTCAGAAAAGCACAACACACTCTCATTCCATAATCGTCCAGGAGCGACGTTTGGTCAGTGTCCCGTGGCGTGCAGTTGTGACGCTCCTAGGCTCCTTCAGCTTCATAAAGGGACGCAAATAGCTTTCAACTGATTGCAATGTATTCCNCTTAAAATGCTGCTTCTTATTTTAAAGTGGACCTATCATGCTATATTTGAACAATATATGTACCTTGCAGTATAATAATTATAACGAATATAAAAGCATTGCACACAATTTAAACCAATCAATGTTGTGTAATTAATTCGATGAGTAGTGCAGATATCACTGTAAAATCAATCGACAGTAAGGGGAATACTTACTTCCGGGTGTACAATTCTCCGTTATCCAATGGGAATGGACGCTCACATAATGTGAGCGTCCATTCCCATTGGATAACGGAGAATTGTACACCCGGAAGTAAGTATTCCCCTTACTGTCGATTGATTTTACAGTGATATCTGCACTACTCATCGACTAAAAAACACCAGATTATCCTTGTTAATTACACAACATTGATTGGTTTAAATTGTGTGCAATGCTTTTATATTCGTTATAATTATTATACTGCAAGGTACATATATTGTTCAAATATAGCATGATAGGTCCACTTTAAAATAAGAAGCAGCATTTTACGCCTTAAGGGGGTTTCCCGACATTTCGTTGCAGTAAATTAAAGGGTGTTTCATGTTGTCGTTGCTGTGGACATTCTTGATACCTTGGAAAATGCCGTTTAATAGGCCTACTTTTTAATAGCCTTAATTTTCGCTAAATTGATTGATCAACTTTTAACACTTTATAAGACCCCGCGGACACCCTGAATTATAATAATCTTGTAATATATGATGCAGTATGCTGCTAATATACCATGGCTTAAATAAAGTATGTCACATCCACTCCATATTGACAAATTACAACATTAAATGCTTTAATTAACAGTAAAAACAGCTCTTTGCATGAATGTTTACTTCTGTTATTATATACTAGTGAAGTAACATTTTGAAACAACTGCTTCTACCAATAACAGTCTTTTTATACCACGCTATTTCGACTTCTATATAAGTGAAGCAGTAAGTCCTCCACCTCGGCTTGAAGAAAATGTCTTTCAAATACTAACTGCAGAATAACATGCACTATTAAAAACCATTGACTTTGATTCTGTGTTCCTAACATTGGAAAGATTATTTCAGATGATTGGGTTCATATATATTTTTGTGTATGTATAAGCCCATATTGTGTAACCTGAAGGGACAGTAACATAGTTGCTGTCGAAACACTTTTCTATATGTAAAATGTTGATATTTTTTCATTTTATACTTATGTGACATTCTTTTCTATGTGAATCCATTGTAAAACAATTATAAACACCAGAATTGTTCCTGAAAAAAAGAGACGGCGGTGCAAAAGTCTATGAAGATCTGGGCTTTATTTCAATAAGCATATTTGGTTGATCATTTGTTTTTTTTTGACAAAAAACTAGTTTTTTCATTAGTTCTTCTACCTTATACAAACATGGTGACAACTACTTCATATGGCATGTATATTATAGGCTATTTGGTTAACAGAAGAAAGTACAATTTAAAAAAAAGAACATTTTATATACAGAAAATAGACGCTTGGGCTTGCATATGAACGGGAACTGAGATGCTCAATTCGTATAAAAATGCTGGATGACACTTAATTGTACAGTACATTTGTTTTGTGAAACTGCAGGGACAGATTAAAAGACCCTGGTGTGTAATTTAGTGGGTATATGATGGACATTTAGCTTCGTTTACAAAGACACTTGCAGTAGTAATTAAAACTAAAACATAATTTCTTGGTAATTCATGTGTTTGCAACATGTAATTTTTGTCTTTTACAAATCAGAAAAATAACCTACTAATACAGATTTGGACAGTTTTGGTAGAACAAATAATAATCATTTGGTCTTAAGAGACACTGGTGTTCCTTTTTTTTAAGTTTCAAAAATAAAAGGGTGAATGATTGTCTGCTTTTACAGAGCAGTCACACAAAGCTATGATCAACGTTAAGAAGGAAGACAAAAAAAAATACTTTATCAAACCTTACTCACCTCCAGACTTGGTTTATGAATCATTACAATTACAAAGGTGCAGAGATACACTGATTGTAGTTAAGCAAAAAGGCAAAACTGGTTAAATGATTTCAGAAAAGAAAAAAAACATTTACCAAGGAGGCGGTTTAAAGAGAAAAACTTGCACCTCTGTAACATTCAGAATCATTCGAGAAGTGCGAACAGAATTCATATAAAAAAAACATTTTAACATGTCTTTGCAAAACCGAACTCAGTAATAACAAGCAGAATGTGCTGTAAGTCTATGTACATTTCATCATATAACATACAACTACTGTATGTTTTTGCATAAAGTTTGTCAAGCTTAATGAATCCCTCAACAACACATGATATAGTGGCACCGTCTGTTGCAAGACATGCTAACTGCATCCACATTGACTCCGATTTGATTTGCAAATCAACTCTTTTGCATTTCTGTAACAGTAACTACCTTTAAAACATACACTGGTCTCCCTGCACCTACAGCATGGAAATAAAAACTGCATTTATTAAACCTTCTTTGTGTTTAGACATTTGATGAAAAACACTTCTATAACTATAAGTAAAAAAACTGTTGTTAGCGTGTAGAGCCATTTAGTAACAAGATGCATCTGTGTGCATTTATATATAATCTGTCATTTACTTGATGTTTGTCTTTCTAGTAATGCAACATACATTTATAAAATTCCCCCTTTAGCACATTAAAACAATGCATGATCTAAAAAAAGAAGAAGCAACAACTAGGTAGTTTTGCTGAATTATACCATCAACTGACCGTGAGCCATCGTATTTAAAAAGATAGAGTGAATGGTTGCGACGATGAGTTAGTATTGACAGGCTTATCACATTAAACAACACATAAGGATACCGTGTAGCGAAAAGAAAATGACCTAAAAAGCAGACGATATCAGTTCAGAGTGTCCTCTGCCACGTTTCACTGTCCATCTCAACAGTCTGTTTCTCTGAAGCAATAAAAGCCGGTCGCCATCTGGTCGGCACTTCCTTGTTGATCCCTCGATAAACAGTTTGTGTTTGTGTGCGGAAAGCCGAAAAGAAAAGTCTTGATTTATCCAACAGAAAGCAGAGGATGTTCGGCCGGCATCACAGGAAGTAGACAGGAACTGATTGAACTTGTGATTGACAGCTAACTGCATGTTTTTTGGTATTGAGAATTTGTGATCTATCTAGCTGATAATACTCAATTTAGAAACTATACAACAGTTTTCTTAAGTGCAAAGAGAAGAAGAAAACATAAAGGGGAAGATTATTATAATGAAGTCTGTTCAGTCTGTTTATGCTTTCCTCCGACCGGCCTACGCAAACACCTGCATGTTGCCGTGCTGCGGCTGCTGGGCGGCCGGCTGCATCTGCTGCGACTGCGCCTGCAGCTGCGCCTGCTCTGGAATGTGTGTGCGGTGTGAAGACGGCAGTGCGTGGTGGGGGTTCCCCAGAGGGGTGGGGCTGGTGGTAACATCAGACCAGTCCGAGTTGGAGTGCGGCGAAGAGGACGACCAGGGGTCCGGGGACTCCGGCGACGGCGTGAGATACGGGTGCTCGCTTGGCGGGTGGGCGGAGTGACCGGGGGTGGTGCCCTCCGAGCCGGTGGTGGTGAAACTGTGCTGGGAGGGGGGAGTGGGGTATTTATCCACAGGGCTCTGCATGGGTGGATAGGAGGGCAGCTGTCGTGACTGGCCCTCGATCCCCCCGTGGCCCCCGTGGCCGACGGTGTGGGGGTGCTGCATGGCGTGGGACATCCCGTGCCCCCTGCTCATCTGCTCGGGCATCTGGTACATGAGAGCCTGGGAGCACCGCAGCTGGCCTGGCCCCTGCTGGGAGTGAGCCTGGCTCTGGTTCGGCCCCTGGGACTGAGGGACCGGCCCCTGCTGAGGCTGCTTCAGCATGGCCTGGCCCCCACCAGGCGCCATCATCTGGAACGTGACGATGGGCGGCAGCTGCTCCCTGCTCATGGTGACGTTCATGGGGGTCAGCATGGCGCCCTGGCCGTGGTGCTGCCCCATGCCGGAGTGTGACCCGCCCATCTGGTGCGGCACCAGGCCGAACATGTGGCCGCTGTAGCCGTGCTTGGTCATGGGCACCCAGCTCTGCTGCTGCCCCAGCATGTGGCTGACGGGGGGCAGCATGGGTCTGGAGGTGGGGCTGCTCAGGAGGGGAGGGGAGTTGGCTGTGGTGGAGACGGTGCCGGACACGTCTCCTGTGTACGAGTGCGGTGATTCCAGGGAGTCGACAGGCGACATGGTGACGGAGCTCTCTGGAAGTCCTGCTGCCTTAACGCCGTTTGTGTTCCCTCCGGCTGTCGCTGCTCCACCTCCCGCTCCACTTCCTCCTCCCGCTCCAGCAGCTGCGGCCGGCGCCTCTCCTCCGGCCGGCTTCTTTCTTCTCTTTGCTTTCATGTCTTTTAGCTCCTTAGCATTACCAGCTCCACCTCCCACCTTTGCTCCACCTCCACCCCTCCTGTTCTTCTTCCCCTGAGCCCCGGGGCGCATGCCGATGTATCCAGCTCCGTTGGCCCCGCACATCACAGAGGAGTTTCCTCCGCCCATGTGGTTAGGGCCGTTGTGCGGACTGTGCACCAGGTTGTACTGGTCCAGCAGACGCACGATGTCGTGATGCATGCGCTCTTGAGCAGTGTCGCGGGGCAGCCGGTCCAGGTGATCCGTGATGTCCCGGTTGGAGTAATGGTCGAGGAGAACCTGAGCCGCCTCAAAGCTGCCCTCTCTGGCTGCCAGAAACAGTGGCGTCTCCTCCTGAAGAAAACATAGCAAGCAGCATGTTTGAATACAAAAAATATCTGTTTTGAGTAGACTCAATTTAAATCGGCACGTTTATAAACCTGATGATTTGATTTGATACAGATTTGATTGCACCTTTGTTTCTAGAGTAAAATTAGATTAGAAATGTAATTATAGAAACATTGACAACATAAGAACAGACCTTATTGTCTTGCATGTCACGGTTGGCTCCATTCTTCAAAAGCACAAGAGTGGCCTCCACATTATTAACTGCAGCCGCCCAGTGCAGAGCGGATTTGCCTAAAATGTTAAGACGGTGAAAAAAGGACAGAAATTAGGCTGAATTTATGCAACTCATTTATTTCTGAAGAAACGTTTACTTAATTTTAAGATGTAATTGCAAACAGCCAATGACTTGTAATACAAAATCAAGACATTACACAGGAAGAGTGATTATATGAGAGGTTCACTGACCGTGGTCATCCACAGCATTGATGTCAGCGTGGCAGTGGATCAGCTCTTCCACCATGCCCTCCACAGCGAGCCTTGCTGCCAGCACCAGTGGAGTAGTGCCGTCATTCATCCTGGAATCCAGTTCTGTTGCACGATTACGGATCAAAATCTGAGAGAGAAGACACGGACACATGAGATCACGACAGACCGCAGTGATGCAGCATAACTTCAAGTTTATAACTGATTCTGTGGTCTCACCTGGAAGACTCCCTGAGCATCCGCCGCCACAGCAGCATGCAGTGGAGTTCGGCCCATGTTGTCGTGCACGTTGGGATCCGTTCCAGCGTCCAGCAGTCTCTTAGCAGCATCAGCGCGGGCGTAGCGGGCCGCCAGGTGGAGCGCCGTCTCTCCTGTGCGATCTGTCTGCGCCATCAGAGATGCACCCTGAGAGATGAGGTCTGAAATCACACTCGGTCCTGGTTCATCTCCTCCACTGTCTTCCTCCTCCTCTCCATGCAGGCTGCAGTCCGGGCCTCCACCATTACGCAGCGTTGCCAACATCAGTGGAGTGCAGCCGTCTGAGGGGAAAAGGAGCCCATTATCACAGCAGTTCTTTCAATTCATTAGGTATGGAGGTTTATACAGTAGGAACTTTTTTTCTCACCAGGTCCTTTGACATTAACATCCAGACAGTCAGCATCCAGGTCGGCCTGAGGGGGGGTGAGGGCGATGTCCGCAGCCTTGCGATGCTGCAGGGTCCACTCCCTGCGGTCAACACCTCCATCCATAGCAATGGGCAGCAAGGGTTTGTCTTCAGTCTATAAAAAGCAACCGAGCTTGAAACATTCAGATCAATCAAAAAGACTTTCCCAATGTTTCTAATCTTTCTTCTCCGATTGAATTGAACTCCCCCAATCTATAACTTAAACCCATTGTTGTCTTTTTTATAGGGTTTGATTAACCTCCTTCCTGACAAGCTACAAGTACATGTTTTGTATCTATGGTTTAAGTGATCTAATTTGGTCTGCTCTGCCTCTAAAAGAAAGTGAAGACAACAGAGAACACCCTCATTCTAGTAAGTATAAACTTTTACTCAACTACTCCAATCCCTCAGCGTTATTCCCCTTTTCAATTCACTTACTCTTTGTTTCTTAGATGGGACCTCATCTTCCAGCCATCTCTGACTTTGACCTCCATCAATCATGGCTCCATCCTGGGTCTTGAAGTTCCTGATATGAGATAAAAGAACATATATAAGTTTAAACGACAGTAACAATTCTCAAGACTCGGCATGCATCCTATGTTCCAGCTATGCTCTTTTTCACAATCAAACAGCTGTGTGATAGATACTTGTTCACATTTGAGAGACCCTACATTTCACTCTAGTATGAATTCCCATACAGTAGTTGTCATCATTAATCTTCATTTAAATTCTCTCTAACACAAGCTGTTGGTCTGTTTATTTACTCACTTCATGTCAAGGTCATCCTGACCGACAGGCTCTCTCCTTTTGTCGTTCTTATTGGCCGAGAAGCCATCGGGAAGCCACAGATGACCGTGTTTGTGCTTCCTCTTGGCGGCCAGCATCCCCAGCACCAGGATGAGCAGAATAATAACCACTGCCACTCCGACCAGGATCCACTCAATCGGTGGCCCACAACATGGAATTGGATCTGTACCTGGACATAAATCAAATATTAGTTTTGCTGTCTTCATTTAATTTAAAACAAACCAGTTGAACTCTGTTTACTTCTAAATGAAAGGTCTACTTACTGCTTACAGACACCAGGGGGTAGGGCAGTCCAGACTTGATTTGAGACGCTGCGAGGAACCTGGCAGTCTCGTTAGTGTCTTTGAAACAGTTGGTAGAGGTCTTTGCGCATTCACGGTTATCGAGCTCCAGGTGCACCACAGATCTGCGGGTCAGAAGTGAAAACAGTGTTATAATAGAAAGCTCAGAAAAGTATTTCTGTTCTTTTTCTTGTTTTCTTTTTTCCCCCCTTGCACTAATTTAGTAACGAATAGTGATGTGTCGGTCGCGAACGAGCCGATTCGTTTGAACGGCTCTTTGGTACGAACGAGGGGAACCGAGTCGTACTTGGTGAGAGCCGTTCTTGTTATCGTTCAATCGTTGGTCCGCACTCACTGCCTGCCAAAATCCACTCGCCTGTTAAAAAGCTTGATTTTGTTCCCCAAACGTATTCTGTGAAGACCCGCCCCTACTCTGATTAGTAGGTTTCAGCAGGAGGAGTGAGGTGGGGTGGGTCTGAACGGAATACGCGAGAGAGAGAAGTCATAACAAGTGGTACAGGACAGGTAGACGACGTGTTTTTCGGATGGAAAATTAGCCAAACGCGAAAACGCAGCAGCATTTGGATGCACTTCAACCAAAACCCAGGCAGTGATAAAGCGCACCATTTGTAAAGGCAACATATCCTTTAAAGCAGGGTCAACAAATAATCTCCATCGCCACACAGTATCTAATATTAAGAGTTGCGTGAATTTCATTCAAGGCAAGGCAACTTTATTTACTTAACACATACGGAGGGTAAATTCAAAGTAGTACATTCACGGACATGAATGACATGGATATGGCGCCACCTTGTGTCGTGTTTACAAAGCAGATTATTGACATTAGGTCAGGCAATACAGTCAATCATTATCCTGGTGATTATTTCACAGATAAACCTAGTAACCCCGCCAAACAAACGGCTCTTTTGAACGGCTCTTTGAAAGGAACGGAGCCATAAGATCCGGCTCCCTTCAAAGAGCCATAATTCCCATCACTAGTAACGAACAATACTATCTGATTATTCTCCTTCTTTATTTATTGTTAATGTACTCTGCAACCTGTAACTCAATAGGCTAATGGGTGGTGGGTGGGTAAATGGTGGGATGGAAATGGAGATTTTGATTTGTCAGCATGGGCTGTAAATATCATTACTTTGTGAATTTGAACCGAATGTACATACTTTGTGTCACTTGCTTTTGTGTGGAAAAAAACAGAGAAATCAATAAAGATATTTGAAGACAGCTGAATAAGTATGTGATTACAGCATCATGAATATCTTTACCCTATAACCTCCTTCTCCAGCTCCCTCTTTCTCCTCTCCAGCTGTTTATGTTGTCCGTTCACATCCCAGTAGTAAGCGTACACCATCGGCTGCTTCTTATCGTCCAGCTTCACTCGCAGGTTGGTGTGCAGCACGGCTCCCAGGGACCGCAGGAAGCCCTTCAGGTCTCCGAGCAGCTCCTTGGGCTGCAGGCGGACCACGATGACCAGCGTTCCAAACACATCTTTAGGGGGAAGGTCAGCCGAGCAGTCCAGGCCGTCCCAGCCGCAGGCCTCCGTGTGGCAGCTCTTGTCACAGACGCTGTTCCCAAAGTGGTCTGCACAGTACTTGTCATACCTGAAAATAGACAGAAGAATGATGTTGGGTGATCTGGCTTTAAAGTATTTGGGACTTTTTTGAAGCAACAGCAATGGCAAAATAAAATATTCTTTGGCCTTTTACCCATGGAATATTTAACATACTGGTCTAGGAGGCAAAAGTGGTATATTGTACGAGGTGTGGTCTTTATTTCTCCAATATGTCGGACCTAGAATATCCAATATTTTTTGGACTGTTCTTCCAAGGCCAAGTAATGATGGCTGAGTTATTTTGGGGGGGGAGGGCATTAATGACTTTATGTATTATTTTATTCATGTTTTATTTCCTGTGTATGTTCGTGTGTATATTAGGACAATGTATGTGTATGTACATATTTAAATTTGCCCTTTTGGGGACATTGTTTCATCATGTTTGGAAACCATGATGGTCAATGTAAAACTTGTGTAAATGATACATAATCTATGATAAAGATATCTTATAAAAAAAAATAATATATATATATATATATATAGGTTCACGTACTTGCAGGTAGGTGTGGTTTCCATGCAATCAAAGCCATCAAAGAGGCACCCGGCGTTGTTGCACGCCTTATCACAATGTCCATCCTTGAAGAGATCCCAGCAGGGAATACTGGCGGTGCAGTTTTCCCAAGGCTGCGGCCACTTGAGTGAGCAGTCGCCTCCGTCCCACTGACATTCATGATTGTTACAATGACCGTCACACACGCTATCCCCTCGACGCCCCGCACACTCCGGATAGGGGCAGGTTGGTGTGCGTGGTACGAGTGGTTTGTTCTCGCAGTATTGTCCAGTGAAGTACATTTGACACTGGCATTTGTAATGGTATGGGTTGGTTGGGTCTTTGATGCAGGTTCCTCCGTTCTGGCAGGTCCATGGACACCTCTGTTCTTTCTCGCAATGGGTTCCGCTGAATCCGGCCTGGCACTCGCAGCGCAGGGGGACCCCGGGTGACTCGACACAACGCCCACCATTCTGGCAACGTAGCTTTGTACAACTGTGGCCCTCCATTTCGCCACAGTTGAACCCAGTGAAGCCCTAAAAAACACAACATGTTATTCAAGAGTGCTCGTAGTATAGACATTTGCAAAGGGCCAATACAACTGTTATTTTAATATAAAAACGATTATAACTACTATTCTATAGATCTAGGTTCTCCTATGAATCTGCTGCTTGTCTACTATACCTGAGCCATGGTGTGGCCCTCTGAAGCAAGCGTGAGAATAAGAAAGGGAGCAAGAAGTTAGTGGAGAGAAAAACAAGGAAATTGTGCAAAGAGATTTTAGTCTAAGAACAAAAGAAAGGAAAACATTGAGGTAGTAATGTCAGCCACCGGTGTACTTCTATTATCTTCTGAAGTCACTCAGTACATCATAATACAAATTGATAACTTTACTATGAGAAGACAGATTATTGAAATAGATAAAATAGGTGAACACGTAAAGCAGGTAAGCCATGATTCTTATTAACCAGAGTTGACATCCACTGGAGGGACGTTTCGTGTCCAATAGACTAATGGAAAAATATCTTCAAATTGGAAGAATGTTTGTTTTCTCTGTCAAAGTAAATATGTATTTTTCTCACATTATGGCACTCTTTATTTAAACGCTCTGCATTTAGTTTCCAGCGTCAACTTTTCTATATTCACATGGCACGCAGTTTAAACAAAAGTGTAGCCTAACACTAAAGCTTGAGAAATGAATAGAAGCTAGCATAAAAGAGGAGAAAGGATTGAAAAATGTGTCCTCTTCTGATATCGGAAAAAGAGAGACATTAAAGAAACTTACGGGAACACAGGAGCAGGTATAGCCATGTCCTGAGCTCATGTTCATAGAGCAGATGGCGCCGTTATGGCACGGCTTCGACAGACAAGGGTCCACCATGGACTCACAATGACGACCTGAAAAATAAAAATAAATTAATAAGTAAACTGAAAACACTTTGCATAATTACTAAAACCCCAACACACTGATGCCTTACTGGTTTGTCTTACATACAATATTAAAAGACAAGCTGCTTTTTGGTAATTTACCTGTGTATCCAAGGCGACAGCGACACTGGTAGTCATTGACCAGCTGCACACAGTCCAGGCTGCCGGAGGCGTGGCAGGGCGTAGAAAGGCATTCATTGAGATCCCCCTCGCAGTGCTCTCCAACGAATCCTGGAGGGCAGGAGCATGTGTAGCGGCCCACACCGTCCACACACTGTCCTCCATTCAGACAGCGGGGTTCAAAGGAGCCAGGCTTGGGAGCACAGTCGTCCACGTTCACTTCACACAGGTACCCTACAGATCAGAGAACAGACAGATATGACTGTGTGTAGCCCAGAAAAGCTGCTTTGTGGATGTATAAAGGAAAAGTATTAATCATCCTGTGACTGTGTGTGTGCAATGTGTATATATTTATTATACACACTTACCATGCGTTCCAGGTGGGCAGCCGCAGGTGAAGCGATTGATGAGGTTGATACATGTTCCTCCGTGCAGGCAGGGCCGAGAGTGGCATTCATCAATATCATAGTCACAGTTCACGCCCTGGTAGCCTGATTTACACTGGAGCGAGAAACAAGAGACAGAGATAAGCTCATTGTGTGCTTGGGGATACCCAATCAAATGGGTGTAATAATTGTTAACAGCGTGCCAACGATCGAGAATTATCAACGGTGGGGGGGG